GCAGCAACTATAGCATCGTGATCATAATTTATTGGATCAATTAAATGACAGCAATCCGGAGAATCTGCAACTGGCGGACAAGACTCAATTGGAGGAGGCTGAACTGGCGTGTCAACATACTCAACTGAGGAAAGTTCTATTGCATCAATTAAACGATCCAAATCCGTAGAATCTGGAACTGGCAGACAAGACTCAATTGGAGGAGCCTGAACTGGCGTGTCAACATACTCAAATGATGGAAGTGGCGACACATCCATGTCGCTCCAGGTAGGCTGTTGAGTATGTGAATTTTGGAATGAAGGGGGCTCAAAATTCATGGATCCATATATGGGGTCAGAAGAAGAGATATTTGACGCGGCATTAAAACCAGTTATAGGGTTATCATATCCATGAAGAAGGTTGGTGTTAAGAATCGGATCACATGGAGTAGACAACATAGGGTATTGTCCATACTGATCAAATACTTTCGGGACAACAACACTCCTGCTACTGGAAAAAAATCTTTGTTGAACTACTGCACTAGGCATGTATAAGGTATTATGAGACGAATCTGAGCACTGTCTAACCAAGTCGCTAATTGGTTTGTAATCTTGAGAATCAAAAAGTGGTGGCATCATATCTGGGCGGAATTTGTAATATTTAAGGTCCAAGTCAGATATATCAAAGTTGAAGGTTTCTGTTTCATCATGCTGGTTGGATTCATTTGGCAATGTGTCAGCACTTTCTTGACTGTCATTTAACGAATATTTGGATATTATCTCGTCAGGATAGATTGGTAAGCCATCTCGATTCCGTTTCTTAGATCTTGTGTACCAAAAGTTCTTTATCTCGTTATCTGTACGTCCAGGCAGCTGAAAAGAAAAGAAAGAGGACTAAGCAAGGCAAATATACTCGACAGAACATGTAAATAACAAGCTCAGTAACAGAACACATTTAAGTAATACTGTCCAGGAACAATAACTTGATGATCAAAAGTAAGATTTATTCAAATCATCATTTGAAGATGCATTCATATTGAGAAAAATGGTATTATATTCCACAAGAAACCAATGCAGGATATCATCTACACATTAATATTAACATAATATACACAAACAAAGTTAAGTTATTAGATATACCATTTTAGCCATATGAGCCCACTTGGTTCCCTTCAGAAAGTGACACTCAATGATTAGGCGTTCTTCTTCGGCAGTAAACGGACCTTTTTTCACTCCTGGCCTCAAGTGATTTGACCATCGGAGACGACAACTTTTCCCACAACGAGCAAGTCCTGATTTCTTTTGGACTGCTTTCCAGTTTCCCTCTCCATGCTTTTTAATATGATCTTTCAAAATTTCATCCTCTTCATTTGTCCACGGACCTTTCTTTAGAGCAACTTCTACTCTTTGATCAGCTTCTTCCTCCGGTAATATTGACCGGCTAAGCTTTGACCTTTTACCAACATCACTGCCACTTGATAATGATGACACTTTACGTTTTCGCGTCGAAGTGCTATCAGCTTCGATACCTTTCTTAAGAGCAACTTCTCCTCCACCCGCATTAACTGTTTGATCAGCTTCGATACCTTTCTTAGGAGCAACTTCTCCTCCACCCGCATTAACTGTTTGATCAGCTTCGATACCTTTCTTTAGAGCAACTTCTCCTCCACCCGAGTTAACTGTTTGATCAACTTCGATACCTTTCTTTAGAGCAACTTCTCCTCCACCAGAGTTAACTATTTGATCAGCTTCTTCCTCCGGTAATACTGACCGGCTACACTGTGGACTTTTGCCACCATCACCCGGTTGTTGCTTTGAAGTGCCACTCATGACTCAATATATCTAAAAAGTCACAAAGTTTGAAAATTTTAGCACATAATTAAACATTATTTCTCAAACGTAAAACAAAAAAAAAACTCTTTTCTTTTCTAAAACATTCCACAATAGCTCTCTCTCTTTTTTCATATGCGTTTTCCGAATCAATCATTTACTCTAGAATAGTAGCAATTTTGTATATTTCTTTTATAGTTTTTCTTTTTCATATTCTAGAGTAGCATGAATTTTGTATATTTCTAAAATAGTAGCCTTACTCTAGAATAGTAAATCCTGATTAATTGGAGAGAATGGAAGTGTTGAAGTGATACTAATTATGTTTTTTAAGGGTGATTAAGGTTTTATATTAATGGGAGTAAACTAAATGGATAAATTAAGATATTTTTTGTGGGCCCAAAGTGTTGATCCCATATTTTATATTTTTTATTCAAGTTACCATTAATTTAATTATTTTAATTAAAATGCATATAATTTTTTAAATAAAATTTACCTTAAAAACTTAAAAATAATATTAAACATATTTTATTATAAAATTAAAAATGATACAAAATTCACAACAATAATACATAAAAAAAATTACATTTTCATAGAGAGTAACATGTGACACTCATGATTTAACTTTAATTCTCATGTTTTCTCTTCAACAATATATTGGCTAATTAATCTTCTTTAATAGGCTATGATAGAAATTACAATATAAATGCATTAATGAAAAAATGACTAATTAATCTTCTTTAATAGTCTATGATAGAAATTACAATATAAATGCATTAACGAAGAAATGAGCGTAGTTTTCTTTACAATTTATATAAATATTATGAGGAATATATTGGCTAACTATTTTTCTTAAAGATTAAATTTGTTAAAATAATATAAAGCAAATTGTTAGCGCTAGTTTTTGAATGAGTTTAAGACTCATAAGAATATATATAACTAAAACAAATCCTTTGTTTTATAACAAACGGGATTTTCGGTATAGGAATAAACAAACCATGGATAAATCTAAGCGACTGTTTGTTAAATCATCTGAGCTACTGTTTGTTAAATCGAAGAAGAAGAAATCAATTCGTAGGAGGTCGCCCCTAATCCAATTTGGGGATCGAACAGGGAAAATTTTATCACTCGAGAAGGCAAAATTTTATCACTCTAAATATCTATTTCACTCGAGAAGGCAAAATTTTATCTATTACCTTAATTTGTATATTTATTATCTAACTATAAAAGTGTTGAATTAAATCCTAACGTTATTAATCTTAAAATTATGAAATTGAATTTTCGAACAGGGAATAAAATCAAATAGAAAGAAACAATAAACATAAATAATTAACTCTAAAAAATCAAATAGAAAGAAACAATAAACATAAATAATTAACTCTAAATATCTATGGAACTATTACATGAAAAGAAAATTGAAAAACTCAAAGAAGCGAAGAGAGCAATGACCTGGAATATAGGTTCTGGTAATATAGGTTCTGGTTGTTGTGAGAGAAACAAAATTCTGATTAATTGGAGGGAATGAAAGTGTTGAAAGTGATACTAATTATGTTTTTTAAGGGTGATTAGGGTTTTATATTAATGGGAGTAAGCTAAATGGATAAATTAAGATATTTTTTGTGGGCCCAAAGTGTTGACCCCATATTTTATATTTTTTATTCAAGTTACTATTATTTTAATTATTTTAATTAGAATGCATATAATTTTTTAAATAAAATTTATCTTAAAAATTTGGTGACTTCTAAGATGAGGACTCTATTAAATCCCTCACCCATGTACCACTAATTATAACCATTGGATGAAACAAGTCTATATAATGATATTATTAAGTATCGTATTAAATTAGATCCTTTTTCATCCCATCATATATATTTCAACTATCTAAACAATGTTTATATCGTTGTCTCATTTTCTCCATTGTTAAACAAAGATAAATTAATGTTCCATCGTCATATCAAGGTGTTATCTCATATTTGTGCTCTTTTCTAACTTCTCAATAAAAATGGATTTTTTCTGTAAAGCTTTTTTTTTTAAATTTTTTTTCAAGAGGTGATAACAACACCATCTTTAACCTATCTATTAATTCTTCTTCCTTCTCCGTTAATTCTTATACTCGCCTCTTTAAATTACAAAATAGTAGATTATTAGTTTTACTTTTGTAAATAAATGTATTGAAAAATTAGATTTAAATTCTTAAATAAAGAAGGAGAGGATTAAATGAGCCAATTGCATAAATCTGTTAAGCATTTATTGACTGAGTTTAGCAAAGTATCTTGCAATTGCAGTAAACCATAAAAGAGAAAGTAAGCCCAAAACACTAATGTAAAATATCACAATTAATTTGTTCTATTTTAAAAATAATGTAAGATTACTATGAAAATTAATGGCAGTCTCACCATATCATGTTATTTAGAAAAAGAGAAGTTGTTCTTCAATCTTAACCAACAGCAAGAGATGAGACAGGAAAGAGAAGATGGGGCGAGTAATTGTGTGAGGAAAATTTTAGGTGTTCTCAGTTTTTTTTTTAATTTATCTGAACCTTTCAAATATATTTAACGGTATTTAAAAGTGGTGCACCGATGAACCACTTAATAAATGGTTCACTCTAGATGCTACCTAAAAATTTAGAAATAATATTAAACATATTTTATTATAAAATTAAAAATGATACAAAATTCACAACACGGTGATCCGCCACAACACGGTGGCCACCAAAACTACGATGGATTATGATTGCAAACCACCAGTGTGTTTGCTTTATTGCTAGCACGCAGTCAATTTTCAAAAGCGTGTTAACGACAAAACAACAGACGGCCATTGACTCAACAAGCATTTGGCCTCTTCCAATGCTAATACAAATAAGCCACACATCAATCTATGAAAATTGCAAATTCGCAATGCAACTACAACTACAACCTTAATTTAAAACCTCAGTAACTTTCTACATCATGGGATACTGCAATTATGTACCTGTTTCCTTGAGCTTTTTTTCTTTCTATAAATAGTTTAAGTGATTAACCAGAATATGGATTTTACATGCAAAACCTATTTTCAGAACCTATTTTCACAACCTTCACCTAATGAACAAGTTAAGCTTTTCAACCCAAGGTCTGTCATGAACATTTCTATCATTAAGCAAACCTATATAGTTTTCGGCAAAGCAATGAAATTTCACATGAGCAGCAAAATCTAAAATCAACTCACTCGTTTACTAGGAAGAGCTGTTATATCAAGCTCCTTACACGCTTTTGTAATAATCGTCTGCATTTGTGCCCTACAAAGAACAAAAGTACAACACTTCATCAATATTCCTAACTCTAACATCAACGCCAAGCAAAACAATGTCTTAAGATAACATTAACCAGATACAATCTAGCAAGATATGATAATAATACATCATATACACCATGTTTTACACAGGACCGTCTATAAGGGCGTGCAATATAGGCCCTCATAAAATATTTGACCTAGCAATATAGGCCCCGATTTGTTTTGCAAACGGTTGAAAATCGCCTAACTTACACAGAGTCTCCAAAATTTAAACACGCCTTTGGTTTTAACTTTTGCGCATGGTGCATAATAAAAGCAAATACTCGTAGAACAGAACATCATAACATGTAAACTTTCATTCTACTAATGTAACAATCACTACAAGTCTTAGGTGACACTTTTGACAGAAAAAAAAACTACTAAAAGTAGAATATAGTGAATGAATTTACCTAAAGAAGCGAATGTTTTTTGGCAAAGGTAGATCCAAATCATCACAAATCCCAACAATAGAATCCTTAAGAGTGATACTGTTAATAACATTATTAGGAAAATACTCAGTATATTGAAGTGAAAGAGATTTATCACAAACAACAAGCTCCCAAAGTTTCTTTCCTCTAGCATCAAGAATGGGTCTAGAACAGAAATCCAACTCCCAGGTTAATATCTTAGCAGGATCAGTTTCTGGGTCAAGATAACATGTTTCAGCAGTTGGGTCTTCTTTGTCTTGTTCGGTTTCTATCTGGGTTGTTTCTTTGTCTTGTTCGGTTTCTATCTGGGTTGTTTCTTTGTCTTGTTCGGTTTCTATCTGGGTTGTTTCTTTGTCTTCTTCGGTATCTATCTGGGTTGTTGTTACTGAGGTTTCTGATACAGAACATGTTCGGAGTTGAAGGAAGGGTTTTTTGTTGGTGAAAAATGGGAATTTGATGGTGGGTTTTGATGAGGAGAGTTTGGTGATGATGGAGTTGGGGTAGTTGAAAGATGGGGTTTTGATTGTCGTGGAGTTGAAGCTTAGAGTAGCCATGGTTATGGCTATGGTTTGTGGAACTCGTTAGTTTGTGTGGTTGAGGTAGTTATCCATTGTTGTTATGGGTAATGCTAACTTTAGTTTTTAGTTTTGGGATACATGTTAAAAAAATCTACAAATAAAAAATAAATATTGAAAAAAGTAATAAAATTATTAATATTAAACTTGTATTAAATTTAATACACAATTTTTAATAAATTTTTACTATATTAATCACTTAACTTGTGTCTCTGCCTCTGAGACACAAATTAGCATTGTCCTTTTGTTATAGGCAGCACTTAATAATTTAGGGACATTAGGAGTGTGAAAAAAAATTGGTTGTATCTTTCTTTTTTATTACAAAAAAGTTTTTTTTTGATAATTTGGGCCTAAACCCAAAAATCCAATAAATAAAAAAGATAAATAGGTACAAAAATGAGGGGGGCGAAGAGCCTAAACCTCAAACCTATCTAATTCTAAAATTAGGTAAACCTAACCGGTTTCTACAAAAATCTGGTTCTATATCCTGATGTACATCATTCCACCAAATAAAGTTAGAGATATTTAAACCTATGTTAGCCAATTTATCGGCACAGTGGTTACCTTCCCTGAAAACATGAGAAGCCAAAAAATTACAATTACCAAGGGTAGCCGTACAGTTGTCTCATCTATTCCTGATCTTCCAGGGCACAACAGATGGTTTACTGAACGCCATCACAACGAGAGATGAATCCGATTCTTGTCAAATATTTGTCCAACCTCGAACTAAAGCATGCTCAATAGCCAAAATAGCTCCCATCAGCTCAGCAAACAGTGATTTAACAGAGCCTAAATTACAAGCAAAACTTTCAATGTGATTCCCGAAGTGATCTATAAATATCCCCCCACAAGCCGCGTTTATTGGATCACCGTCGGATGCTCCATCAATGTTGACTTTAATCCAACCATTTGGGGGAGGATTCCAAATGACTTCGACACACATCTTGGATTAACCGGATTAATGGAAATAGAAAACTTTTTCAGAACTTGAAAATCCCCAATGTCCATAGAAGACGCTCCTTTGAAAGAATTTCCAGCCAGCTGGGAAGTAGCATAAATAGATGAACAAGTAGTTCTCCAAGGAACAAACCTGTTTTGAATCCGAGCATAATTTCGAGCCCTCCAAATGCCATTAACCACAACAATAATCGAAGCACGGTATACTACCATACATTGCGCAGCACCAGATTTATGCATTGCAATGAAACAATCCTGCATATCTGAAAAGCTAAAATTAACATTAAGCATATCGCGTAGCCAATTCCAGATCCTCCTAGAATACTCACATTGAAAAAAAAGGTGATTGATATTTTCTTCTGTATGTAAACAAAGGTTGCAAATAGAAGGGTCTGCCATACCGCAATGCTGGAGAACTTCATCCGTAGAAACACGATTCTTCATAACTCTCCAAAAGAGAATAGAATGAGAAGGAGGGATGTTTGAGTGCCAAATTAAATTGCCCCAAACACAAGCATTTCCGCTATGCTTGCAGTAAGAATACGCATCCTTGACAGTGATATCGCCGCTGTCAGACCTGGACCAAGCGAGCCAATCTTCCTTCAAACAGTTGACATAAATATTTTCCACCATCCGTGGCAGCTCAGGACAAATACTTATCAGCCCCGGTGGCAAGTGAAACGAATTGCCGCTTAAAATGGAGCTCAGATTAGCCTTCAGCAGCGCTAGCTGAGCATCCGAAAGATGAAGCGATGAACTCAAGGGACTGCCACACCAGTTATCACGCCATAAATTAATTTTATTGCCCTTTCCAATTATTCACATAGAATTCTGCAATAAGTCTTCCAAAAATTCAGCACAACCTGTCCAAACAGACGAGAAAACGTGTGATTTACGCACCGAGCCTTTCCTTAAAACTCTAGCTTTTACAATCGAAGCCCAAGTGTCAATCTCATTCATAATACACCAGCATTGAACCAAACGATTTGCTTTGTTAAGAACACGAAGAGAGCGATACCCAACCATCCATCCTTACGGTCCTGACAACAAACTTTCCAAGCCACCGTAGCCATCTTTCTTTGATTGATATCACCACTCCATATAAAGTTCTGACACCAAGTTTCAATTTGAGAAAATTGTTCTACTTTTAAAAATTCAAACCAAATGGTAAAATATAAATTTGGGAAAATTTTACCTCATACCATCCTTTATTCCTCTACCCCTACATTATATTTTTTTGACCAAAGTATCCTCATATAAATATGTGTAAACTTTTCCTGGTTTAATTATTTGATCTAGAGTTTAATAAATAAATCTATTATTAAAAACTACTTTATCAATATTCTCAGCAAACATGACAAATATTATATATCTATACTATTATATGATCTTATAATGTCTCCATCAAAAATTTTCCGCTAAGTTTTTTTCTTTAATTAATTAATTAAACATAAATATAACTTTATGGAAAAAAATGTATAAATTGATGAAATATAAATTTGATTTGTGAGAAGATAACTTTGTGGAAAAAAATGGAATAAAGTAATGAAATTAGTGGGGGCTATAAAAAACTTTAAATTTTGTGAAAAAAATGGAATAAAGTAATGAAATTAGTGGGAGCTATAAATTTTTTTAATTATATTAATTTAATTTTGTATTAAGTAATTTTAAAGTTTGCATTATGTCTTATTTATTTACTTTTTTACTTTATTTTTTAATTTAATATTACTATGTGTCCTATTAACGTGGGTTAGAAAGATGTTATGAGTGGAGAGAAGTTAATTATTTGCATGATATGAATAGAGAGTGTTGAGTGGAGAGAAATTTGAGAAATAAACATGTTAAATATTTTAATTTAATTATTATTTAATTAATAATAATAATAATATTTAATTATTAATAATAAAAGATTAATTAATAGAATAAAGAGAAAAGTTATGCTATATAGTTACTATGTTAACATATTATTGGTGGGTGGCTGCATTTTAAAAAAAATAGGACGTGTTTTATTGTATTTGTTAATTAATAATTATTTAAAATATAAGAATGTGACTTAATCGGAAGTTTTAAATGGAGTTAATAATAAATATATTTATATTTAATTAATTAATTAGAGGAAAAAGTTTTAGCGGAAATTTTTTGATTGAAACATTATGAGATTATATAATAGTATATTACCATGTTTGCTAAGAATATTAATAATGTAGCTTTTAAAAATAGATTTATTTATTAAATTACGGATAAAATAATTAAATTAGAAAAAATATATTAAAATTTGATTTGGCATGTGCAAGAAAATATACTAAAATTTGATTTGTTGGATTTTACTATAGTTTTTATTTATAAATCTCAAAGATCAGTAAAGCTTTATGAAAAATGATCATAAATATTTTAGATTTCTCCACCAATAGATAGGGGTTTTGAAATATACAAATATATTTATTATAACATATTAGTCACCATTTTAAGTCCATATAATTTACTGAAGTTTTTATTTTTAAATTTTTATTTTCAGTTTTATTTTTAATTTTTTTTTTAAATTTTAAATTCTTTTGTTAGTTTCAAAGAAAAAATATATTAAAACCTAAATATTTAAATTTCAAAATTGGTATAATTTAAAAAAAAAATTAAATTTAAATTTAACTAAATGATTTGGATTAAAATTAAAATTCATTTAGAACCGATTTTAAATCGGTTCGGAACAAATAGTTTGATTTATAAACCATAACTATAAAAATGGTTTGATTTATAAATCATAACCATAAAAATGGATTGGTTCATATTAAATGGTTATCATGCACACTCCTAATGGACATGAAAAATATCTAGTTTATCCTAGTACTATTTTTATAGATACACTTTCATGAGTTAATCATTGTTTTATACTTCTAAAGTAATCATTAGAATGGGTTAGAGACGAAGAGTCTTACATCAAAGAGAATGTTTAAATGTTGAACAAATTTACTAGGTTATAAAGAGTTTGTGAAGGAAAAATGATTATTTATTTTTTCAGATGGATGTTTGGAGAGGTTTTGTGCTAAAATAGAAATTGAAGTTGATAAAGGTAGTTTGAAAGTATGACATCAAAATCATACTCAAAATTTAGAAGATAAAATTAAAGTGGTAAAAGAGGAGTTGGGAGAGTTACACTTGTTAAATATAATTCATTGTGTAAATAGATTTGATATGATTAGATTTGATTTTAATATTTTGGGCCTTTTATGTTTTGGGCTAGTGTAAACCTAAAACTATAAATAGGGTGCCTTGCTTTGTATTCTACATCACAACAGAACAGATTTCACAGTTGCAGTTAGCAAGTGAAAGTTCAATAAGAAATCCCACAGTTGTGGGTAACACATTCTCTCCAAATACTTCTTCTCTCATTCTTCTCTTTCTTGTTTGTTATTCTTCTTCTCTTTTGTTGTTCTTGATAATTACTTGTTATTACCATTACTATCATATAGTGAGTTTGTTCATCAATCTTGAGATCAAGATTGAAGGGAATTCTTCGTAGGGTGTGAGGTGAATTTCCAACATCTGGTATCTAGAGCTCCGGTTAAGAGATTCAAAGAAGGAAGATAGTGATGGCGATGAACTATCCAAACGGCAACTTTCCGGCGACCCTGCCAATTCTCAAGAAAGACAATTATGAAAATTGGTGCAAGCAGGTTAAGGTGATCTTCTGTTATCAAGATCTTTGGGATCTTGTGAAGGACGGAGTAACATCGCTGGTGGAGAACGCAACGGAGGCGGAAAAGGCTGTGCACAAAGAATTGAAGAAGAAGGATTATAAAACACTCTTTATAATTCATCAGTGTGTTGATCCTGATAACTTTGAAAAGGTTAGTGATGTTGATTCAGTAAAAGAAGCATGGGAGATTCTTGAAAAGTCGTTTGGAGGCGCAGAGAAGGTGAAAGAGGTGAGGTTACAAACTCACAAGAGAACCTATGAGTTGCTTCAGATGGAAGACAATGAAAGCATTACAGATTTCTTCACCAGAGTTACAAGGTTGGTGAATCAA